GCGGGGATGGGCACCCAGAAAGGCAGTGACACCATCAATCTGGTGGGGGACTCGGTGAGATTCACTCCGTGCAGCCCCTCCAGCCCTGACTTCACCACCTGGTCCTGTTCCAAGTGCACCCTCAAGAACCCCACCCTGGCCCAGAAATGCAAAGCCTGCGGCTCCTCCAAGCTGCACGGCTTCCAGGAGCACGGGACGCAGGGCGAGCCGTCCTCCCGCTGCCCTGACTGTGGGGCTTGTGACAAGGGCGGCTGCTGCTGCAGCAGCAGGGCCCCGTCCGCCCGCAAGGTCGCCCGCCTCTTCCCATCCCAGCTGCCTACCGGCCAGGAGAGGCCGGGCCAGTGGGCTTGTCCCGCTTGCACCTTGCTCAACGAGCTCAAGGCCAAGCACTGCGTGGCCTGCCATACCCCGCAGCAGTACGTGGCCCAGCGCAAGGGCCTCAAGCCCCTGAAGAGACGGGAGAGCATGCACGTGGAGAAGAGGCGGCAGACGGATGAGGGAGAGGCCAAAGCCCTGTGGGAAAACATCGTCACCTTCTGCCGGGAGGTGAGTGCTTGCTGAACTGGTCTTGCTCCTGGTTTTTCTTGGAGGGGGCCCTCTTCACGCTCTCCCCGTGGGTCTAGGGCATCGCTTGGCACAGGCAAGCTGCCTTCTCTGTCTTGGGTCCCAGAGAAGATCCTCACCTGCAGCAGCTGGATGCTGGTTGTTAACACTGAAAAGTAATATTTTAAATTGGTGCAAGATAATCTCTAGGGTGAAGGTGACCCATCCAGTTCACTTCCAGTCCGAGGGTGAGGAAGTCTGAGTGTTAACTCTGAAACCTAGTGATATTTTAAATCAGCGAGAGAGAACATCTGGGTTGAAGGGGACATTCTTAGCTGGCCAACAGAGCTCCTTCTCTGTCCAAGGGTGGGGAAGGCTGCGAAAGAGGGTGGCCAGGTTTGCTGGTGGCCCCGCTGTCTGCGGGCAGCAACTGCGGCCTGTGTGGGTGCGGGAAATCGGGGGATGCAGCAGGCAGAGGCCCGGAGCACTGGCAGGGGTGCAGGCAGAGGAACTGCTGTCACTGCCAGCAACTGCAAGTGTTCAAGAACTGTGAGCTGGGCCTTGGCCGCCTTGGGTTTGGTGTTTGTGAATGCGCAGCTGCAGCTGCAGGTGGCTCGCCCCTGTTTTGGGAAGGACAGCTGAGGTTTGGCTGTACCCTGGCTCCGGGTGAGGGTGTCAGGAGCGCATGCTGTCACCCTCCCCTCCCACTGGGAATTATCTGGCCCGACCCGTTGGGTTTCAGTCTCAAACAGCGCTGTCATGGCCCCATTTTTTCCGTGAGTGGCATAAGCTGCTCCTGTGAATGCTGCTCTTTCTCTGCCCTCCTTCTGGGGGAAGCCTCCAGCTCTTCTGGACCAGATGGAAAGGGAGTTGCAGTCCCATTTTGATGTACAGACAAGGCTTTCTCTGCCTGATCCGAGGAGTGCGTCCATGCCTGCGCCTCCGCTGCGCAGACTGGGGACCACAGAGATGTCTGGCTCGGGAGGGAAGGTGTTGAGAATGATCCTGGTTTGGGATTGTGGGGTTTTTTATTTGCTACATGTCCATTCTAGCAGACGTGGGTGTCTTTATAGCGGAGAGACCCTGATTCTGCCTATCCCCCTCTTTTAAACAAGTGAATAGCCTCTTTTGTAGGCAGGGGACATCTGTTACATCCAGTGGAATCGGGCCTGAAGCATGAATTATGAGAGATGGCCAAGCTGAATTAGCAGCTTGCCGCTGCCAAGGAGGGGAGTCTGCCTTGCTCCATCCAGCACAGCTCTCGGTCGGAGCCTTGGCTGAGCCCATTCAGCTCACTAAGCCGGCAGTAACGGGCTATTAGATCAGTGTGGGCCATCTCCTGAAAATCCCCCTAAAACTAAACCACTGCTCTGTTCTGACCCTGTTTATGGTAAGTCAGGGGCTCTGCAGGTCCGAGGGAAGGACTGGCAGCGGTGGTGGGACAGCGCTGCTCCCGTACTCATGCTCGCTCTGCTCTTGAGGTGCCTGCAGGTTCCCACCAACGCTCCTGTAAAACAGGCTCCAAGCTTCCTTCCCTCGGCGGTGTTTCACAGGCTGTTCAGGCTTTCCCCAGAGGATGGTGTCACGCTGGCCAAGTTCTCCTCCGCCTGCTGTCCCCGTGCCCCAGGTCGCGTGGAGCGGCCCGCCTTGCTGCGCTGCTCCCTGCTCGAGCTCCTGCCGTGGGCGCTCCCTCCTCCGCTATTCCAGGGGTGCCTTTTCCGACACTTCTCAGTGCATGGCCCCCACTTTTAGCTTTACCCTTTCTCTTCTGTCCGAGGAGAGCAGAGCTGACCTCTTCACTAGTTGCCTCTGCACCGGGCATCTGCTTCCCTGTCTTGTGCTGTCCCCTCTCTTGCTGATCCCGCTGTCTCACGATTCTTCTCTCCTCTGATTAACCATCCTTCTCCCTTTCCGAATAACAACACGCCTCAGCACGTTCTGCAGAGCTAGAAGGACGACCCAGGACTCTTGCTGTCTGTGCCGCGCCCTGGCACCTCTGCCTGCAGAGCCTTTCCCTGTGCTGGGGGAGGCCCCATCTCTGTTTTCCTCCTTCTCCACCCGTCAGAAGTTGGCCACTGGCCGCCAGGCCGTGCGGGGCAAGGCAGCAGCCTTCCTTGGCCCCTGCGGTCCCGGGGAGGTGGCAGCAGAGAAGGTCATGTCTCTGGTCCAGAACGGCATGAAGAGGGTTGTTGGCAGAGCAGGAGGAGTGAAGGAGGTCCGATGCCTGGATTTATCCCCTTGCAGGAGAAATAAGCAGGGCTCCTCGTCTGGCACCATCCATGAGCAGGCTCATCACTGCCCAGGCACGAGAGGAGTTACCTGCTCCTCTCCCCGCTGCTCTGGTGCTACCCCAGCAGCCCTCGTGCCTCTCTTTCCCTCCATCTCCAGGGATATTGGTAGTGACAACTTCTCTAAAGCATTTAGAAATAAGTGAAGGGAGACATCATGGTATAAAGGTAATTAGCTTGTTAGGCAGGCTTTCCTCAGGCTGCTGGGCAAGTGCACTGCTACAGCTCTTGCATTGCCTCCATCGTCTGCTGGTGAGGTCTGTGGGCTCACGTTCAGGCTCCTGCAGTCCTGCTGAGTACTGTCCTGGCCCTGCTGAGACCCCGGCCACGATACCGGGGAGGCCGAAGGCTTCTTCCACCTCTGCTGCTTGGAAAAGCACTGCAGTGACACCACAGGGGACAGAAAGCTTGCGATGCCCACAGGCTCTGACAGCTGCCTTGCTGTGTGTCCGTCCTGCCCTGCACAGCGGGTTCCTGGGGAGCCCCGGCTGCACCCCGAGAGGCAACTGTGCGAGGCCGGGATGTGGCAAGATGGGGTTGCTGGCCGATACGGCAGAGGCGGCTGCTTGTCAGCTGCACGGAGCAGATGCTCCCCTTGAGAACGCCAGCAGGCCCTGGGACGTGTCCTTTTGGGCCCGCATTGGTGTTTGAACAGTGACATCTATTAGCTGAAAAACACCCTTCTGCAAAAGGGAAGCTGGAAGTGCTAATTGAGGCACCACATAGAAAGCGTTCACGTAGGATTGCAACAAAAGAGGAAGGCCAGCTACTAGTTTGGTGTGCATAAAAGCTAATTTAAATCAGAGCCGGCTTTTGCTGAAAGAATTTAATTTCATTTAATTAACAATAACAAAGAAATCCTGGTTCTTATTTCACCCTGTGTTAAACTGTCTGAAAAAGCCGCCCTTCGCCCCTTGGTGAAGTTCTGTGCTTCCACCCTGCCCCTGGGGCTAATCCCTGTGGGATTACCTGCCCTTCGGTCCATCCTGTTTGATTTACCGCGAGCAGCTATTGCGGGTGGGCTCGGACGTGGGATACCCTCGCTCTGGGATTGCTTGCCTGTTTGTGGTCGGGCTGAATCCAATGGCGAAAGGTGCCCCTAACATCCTCCCGGCTGTGCCTCGGGGTGGCTCGGGACTGCCAAGCCCAGCGCGTCCCCTCCGGAGCAGAGGCAGCTTGGCCCTTAGCACAGGGCTCGGGTTGAGGAGCGTTTGCTTGCCAGGTGGCTCCTCGCAGGCTTGCTGCTCACGTGCTTTGCCGCTGATAGAGGCAGCCAAGGTCCCCCACCGTCCAGCTTTTAGCACCAGCACAAAGTGCGAGACGGTCCCTGCCCAGGGAGGTTCCTGCGAAACAGAAAAAGGCAGATTTGAGTGGCAGTCCAGGGCTTGGGGGCCGGAGAGGTGAGCCGGCTCGTGGCAGGGCTGAACACTGGGCCTGATGCACAAAATGCATCTGTGCCGTTGCCAGCGGGCGCCCGGTCCCAGACCTGCTCCCTGGCACGGCGTCGGAAGGGGCTGCCCGGGCCGGGCAGGGGGGCTGGGGGCTCCACTCTCACTCCTGCCGGTGCAGCGGGAGGCTTTCCAGGCCGGCTGGAGCATCAACTGCACACTGATGCTCTCCTTGCCTTTTGCTCTCGCAGAACAAAGTCAATTTTGTAGATGACAGTTTCCCCCCTGGGCCCAAGTCCGTGGGATTCCCGGAAGGCGACAGCGTGCAGCAGAGGGTGAAACAGTGGCTGCGACCCCATGAAATCAACTGTAGCATTTTCAAGGACCGATCGGTGAAGTGGTCGGTGTTTCGGACACCCAGGCCCTCGGATATCCTGCAGGGACTGCTGGGAAACTGCTGGTAAGGGGGAGCGAGCCGGGCTGACACCCTCCTACCCCTTCCTCCTTTCTCCCCCTTCATCCGCCTTCGGATCAGACCCCTCAGCCCTACTCAAACCCATTTATACCCCCAGGCATGTACCCCATCCTCTGCCTCACCCCTTACCAAGCGGCTGCGGACCGCGGTCCCCTGCTCTGCACGGCTGGGCAGCTGCCTGCCCGTGCCCCGCTGAGACCGTCCCGCGTCCCGTCCCGCTGGCAGGTTCCTGAGCGCCCTGGCCGTGCTGGCCGAGCGGCCGGAGCTGGTGGAGAGGGTGATGATCACAAGGACGCTGTGTCCCGAGGGTGCCTACCAGGTGCGGCTGTGCAAGGACGGCACTTGGACCACGGTGCTGGTGGATGACATGTTGCCGTGCGATGAGTGTGGATACCTCCTCTTCTCGCAGGTCAGCGGCCCTGGCGGGGAGCGGTGCCGGGAGGGGTGGGCAGTGCTCCGGGGGCAGGGGGAGGCTCTCCCAGGAGAGGACTGATGGAGGCAGTGGGAAGAGGTGCTGCTGTGAGGCCCCGACTCTGGGCTGCGTGGGGCATTTGCAGCTCAGGACCTTGCTTTTTGCTGCGCCCTCAAGACAGCTGAACTCTGTGAGGCCATAATATAAATCTATTTAGGCCCCTTCTGGCATTTTCCAGGCTGCGATGGAGAACTTTCATTCACAGTTGCTTTTCCCTCACTCCTCCCTGCACCACCGCCGCTTCGCTTGCAGAGGAAGCTGTCCTTATTCTTCACAGCAAAAGGAAAATATTTTAACCTGCGTGTTTTGTGCTGCGAGGGGCTGAGGGAAAGCTGTTTCTTTCCTCTGCGGGGAGGTCTGGCAGCTTCGCTTTGCCAGGGAGGGACCGTGGAGAGGGAGGGGATCGCATGACAAACCAGCCTGTTTCGAGCCAATGCCCAGTTGCTCTGAGTGCACTCGAGTGGCATCTGCTAGGGTTAACAAAGCTCCCTCGGCCACTTTGGGACGTCACTGCGGTACGCCCTGCCCTGCCTGCCAGGCCCAGGGGCTCTTGCTGGGATCATGTCCATGAAGGAGACTGGGAATGTCTTTATTGAAACTCAGGCGGCAAAATCTGCCAAACAAAACAAAGTGCTGCTGTCAGGAGGAGCCAGGGACCCGGGACCGCTGGGTTCGACTTTGTTCTGCAAATCCCAATCCTCTGTTTTAAAGTACACACAGCCCCAAACCACATCATCTGTGAGCTGTAGATGTCAGGACAGGATGCCGGCTGGGGAAACGGGGCCCAAAGATGAGTATTTGGGGAACTTCAATGTCAGTCCAGCTTGCACAGTCCCCAGCCTGGGTGGGCTCGGTAGCCTAAGCCCTCCGCAGCGTGGAGGTGCCCCAGTCCTGGGGCAATTGCTAATTGATCGGAGCTACCGGGCCCCGTGGGGCAGCAGTCCCGGCACGGCCGGCAGCGCCAGCTCCCGAGCCCCGCTCACCCCTGGCTGCAGGCAGAGGGGCAGGGGTCCGGGCAGGGGCTGCGTGCTGGGCAGGCACAGGTACGGGACTGCCAGGCCTGGCTGCTTTCTCAGCAGAGTGGGTGATCCCCCCAGGGATGCTGAGTGGGGCAAAAGGATTGCCAGCGCTGCTGGAAGCTGGTCCTGTTAAGGAGAAACTTTGGAAAAGGGAAGAAGAAGGAATCTGTGTCCACGTTTTGCCTCACAGTCGACAGAGAGGAGCCAGTCAGACGCATTATTTTCAGCATAAGATTTGCCTGTCTTGTTTTTTTTCTTTTCCATCCATCTTTCCTCTCTTAAAGTTTCAAGTCTGCTTTTTTTTCTTTGAAAATTGAAGGTTTTCACATGGACTGGGCTTGCCTTGCCTTTGTTTCCAGGGGCATCTGAATCGTGACGAGATTTTTCTGCCAAGCGTTCAGCTGTGTGAGCTGAACGTGGGGGCTAAAAATGGAAAAATGGAGAGTTTTAAAGATAAAGGAAAATCAGGCTCTTAGCAGAGCTCCCTGGCTGCGGCTCAGCCAGAAATAAACAACATGGATTTTGTTGAGTGAGGGACTCAAAAAGCAGTGAAAAGCATTTGTAAGCTTTCTTTATCCATCGGAAAGAAATCTTCACTGCCCTCCTTTCCTCTCCCAGCTCTTGGCTGCCTCCTGCGAGTCACACACGGTCGCAGTGTGCCAGTGCTTTTCCCCTGCCGCCCTCCAAGCACCGGCTACTGAACCCAATTTGGGGACCCGGAGGGCAGCAAATGTCTCCTTGCCTTCTGTCCTCATATGCCTTCCTCTTCGCGTCCTCGCTGCAGGCAGGGGCTGGAGTGGAGGGGTCTCCCCCCAGCCTGAACGTGCCCAGGAGTAAAGCACAGCTGGTGACTGCAGCCTGCGGCACGCTGGGGACCCGCAACGGTGGCTTGGACGTAGCAGTGAAGGCTGTGCCCTGAGCCCACGTTGACGTGGCCAACGGAGGCTTTGCACACCTCTGGGTGCATTAATGCAGGTGCTGCATTTCTTTCTGCATCCATAATCAGCCTAGCGATGCCAAGAGCACTAGCCTGGCACCACAGCAAAGCGACTCCAGGGAGAGTTTCCCCCCTGCAAAACTCGCATCTTCTCGTTACATCTCACCGCTGTCCCTTTGCTGGAGTAGAGGGCTTTGTCCGTCTGCCTGGGAGGTTTTGGAGCTTGTCCTTGAAACGTCTCTGTTCCACGAGTGAAATCTAATCGGTCCCCTGGCCATGTGTGCTCTAGGCAGCCTCCTCCGCCAAAGGTGCGTTGGTGTTGGTTTGCGACGGTGTGCGAGTGAAAGGCAGCTCTTCCAGATGTGCTCGATATCCTCTTCCACTATTAAACATTTTTAAATCCAGGTTGAAGCAGAAGGAAGGGACCATTAGTTTACGAAGTGGACACCCACCCCTGCCAGCCTGGCTGCCTGGGCACGCCAGGGTGCAGCTGTGTCGGCGTCTGGGCCTCTTGGGCGTTCGCTCCAGGACGTTTTCCCAAGGGGAATTAAACCGTGCAAACAAAACACTGAGTAGGCAGCGAGCGGGGTCACGCATGGCCTGATGCAGACAAGCTCCTGGGGACTTGGCCTTGCTGCTCCTGCCTCTCTGTCTCCCATCGCAGCGGGAGGGCTGGCAGGGGCGGGCGAGCGGGGCTTTGCCTCGTCTGTGCGCTCTGCCCTTGCTTTCCCATCTCCTGCCCGGGGCGGCTCGTGATGTGTCTCTCCCTCTTTCCGCAGGCCCAGAGGAAGCAGTTGTGGGTCGCCCTCATTGAGAAGGCGCTGGCCAAGCTTCATGGTTCGTACTTTGCCCTCCAGGCGGGGCGTGCTATTGAAGGCCTGGCTACACTAACGGGTGCCCCCTGCGAGAGCCTGATGCTGCAGGTCAGCTCCACTAACCCTCGCGAGGAGCCCATTGACACTGACCTCATCTGGGCCAAAATGCTGAGTTCTAAGGAGGCTGGGTAAGACGAGGCAGGAGGGCGCCGTGGCAGGAGCATGGACGCTCGGAGAGGGGGGTGAGGGGAGCCGCTCTCATTTGTAGAGGCTCAGAGGAGAGGGGCTAGAGCATTACCTAGGGTGCAGTCCACCACCCTTGGCATTCCTCTGGAGTCTTGATGGAGCTCGCCCTCTAAGCTCTAAGAAATTATTTCTCCTTTGTTTCATTTTCATACGAAATTAAAATCCTGGTGAATTCCCCATGCACATTTACTGCAGTCTTAGGGAGTTTTGAAGTGGCTGGCACTGAGCCTGCTTGCTTTTTGCTTCGAGGTTGGTTGTATTGTGAAGTGCTTGACCCTGCACGTGTCTCCCACCCATACGTGGCATCCTTGCTGGCCATACCTGGGCGTGACTATAGGCAGTCTATAGGAGACAAAGCAAAAGCACAGTCCTCGTGCTCATCACTCCGGTGGGAGGGCAGTTGGGTTGGCTGAAGGCAGGGTTGCTCCTGCCAGCCTGCAGCACGGGGCCACGTGGGAGCTGGTGCAGACCTCCCGCCCCGAATAGCCTGTCCTCACCCCTGCAGAACGGGCCAGCCGCCTGCGAAGCGGAGGCAGACGTACCCGCTTGCCTTTCCGTGCGGCTGAGCCCTGCCAGCCGTCAGAGACGGGCAGGACCCCGAAGCCTGGCAGAAAGCGGGTGAGGTTTGGGCAAAGCTCCGCTGTGTGTGGGCAGAGCTTTCAGCCCTGAAGGTGAGGGCACTGCTGGAGAAGCTTGCCACGGAGCCTGGGCTCAAGCATGCGTGGGAGCGGGCGGAGGGAGCTCACTGCTGCCCAGGCAGAGCTCTGGCCCATGGGGCTGGGGCACTGCTCTGGGGAAGTTTACAGTGTTATTGCAGAGAGGGAATATCCAGGAGCCTCCTGGGGGGGAGGCTGTCCCGTGCGTTGAGCAGTGGGGACGAGCTTCGCCCCCGTGCCAGGCCGGGCAGGACACCGAGGGTTTTGCTGTCCCCTGTGCAGGTTCCTCATGGGCGCGTCCTGTGGCGGAGGCAACATGAAAGTGGACGACGTGGCCTACGAGAGTATGGGTCTGCGTCCGCGGCACGCCTACTCCATCCTGGACGTGCGGGATGTCCAAGGCTTCAGGTGAGTTCAAGGTGGAGGCCGGCGTGGTACAGCAGGTGTTCCTGCCAACAGCCCGAGCAGAAACCCTGGGGACAAATAATTGAGTGCCTGCTGGACAAGACTTTGGGGACTCTTCGGTGTCCCGTGCTCATGGCCAGCGAGGGCTGTTCTCCATCTCAGGGTGTCATGTAAATGCTGGTGTCACATCAGCCGTCCTTGCCTGGCACTGGCTGCCCGTCTAGGGCCACTCTGCTCCAGGACGCCCGATGGTGCAGAATGGTTTCCCTGGTCTTCTCACAGGATGCAGAGGATTGAGTAGAGCTCTTTCAACTCAGTGAAGCAATCAGGGCATCCTTCTCACCTTTGGAGGGCGGGGGGATAGAAAGGGGTGCTGCCCGCAACGGCCTGGGTGCTGTATGAAGACCCATTTTCATCCACGTCTCTCCTGGGCTTGTGCAGCTCCGGGCACACGCTCGGCAACCCCTTCCCGGCTGAGCCCCTTCCCCGCAGCGCCTGGCTGGAGGCCTTTTGGGCAGGGGAGGGCAGAGGGAGCTGCAGCAGGTCCAGAGCTCTAGGACGTGGGCATCTGAGGCCGCGGTGGGGGTGGCAAATTAGGTCTGGGATGCTTTGAAAGGCAAGGGCAGAAGTGGCGTGGTGCCCTCTGCGAGGGGCTGGCTGGGTCTGCAGAGCTGGGAGAGCATCTCGGAGGTGATCTTCCTTGCACTCTCCTTCCTCCTGGGCCTCTGACAGTGTTTTTCCCCTTCCCCCAGGTTACTGCGGCTCCGAAACCCCTGGGGCCGCTTCTCCTGGAACGGCAGCTGGTCCGACGAGTGGCCGCACTGGCCGGCTCCCTTGCGTCACGACCTGATGCCCCATGGCAGCAGCGAGGGCGTCTTCTGGATGGAGTACAGCGATTTCATTAAGTACGGTAGTGCCCAGGAGGCAGAGGCTGTGGGGCGGGAAGCCAGGCAGGGGACAGAAAATGGGACGTGGGGCTCAAGATGGGGCAGGCAGGACTGGGCATCCCCAGGGGGGTGTGGGTGACCTGCTGGTGCCTGCTTCTCCGGCTGCCTGAGGGCAGAGCAGTGTCCCCACAGAGGAGCCCGCTGGGGCTGAGCCCAGCTTCCCCACAGGTATTTTGACTCCGTGGATATCTGCAAACTCCATTCGGACTGGCACGAGGTGCGTGTGCAGGGCATGTTCCCCAACAAGGCCAACGGGCCGGTGACGGTGACATCGCTGACGGTGTTGGAGCGTGCTGCCCTGGAGTTTGCCCTCTTCCAGGAGGGCAGCAGGTGAGCCGGGCAGCGCGCGGGCTGCAGGCAGCGACCCGCACCCAGGAGAAATCCCAAACACTTCACCCTCTCGCCCCATGCCATCCCGCGGGGCGGCAGAGCTCGGGGATGGGCCCCCACTGCCATTTCTCCAGTTCTCAGGGTCTGCTCATATTTTAGCTGAAACCCAGGCCCTGATCGCGTGCTGGGGCCGGGTGCCTGGGGCAGCGGGAGAACTCTTCCTCCGGATCCGCCGTCCTGCCCGTGGCCTCCACGTGCTCTGTGGGGCGGCGCTCGGCTGGTGTGTGACCCTTCTCCCCCTCCCGGCGCAGGCGGTCGGACACGGTGGACAGCCACTTGCTGGATCTCTGCATCATGGTTTTCCGGGCCACCTTCACCAGCGGGAACAAGCTGAGCCTGGGCCGGCTGATGGCTCACAGCAAACGAGCCGTCAAGAAGTTCGTCAACTGCGACGTCATGCTGGAGCCGGGCGAATACGCCGTCGTGTGCTGTGCCTTCAACCACTGGAGCGCCGCCCTGGCAGGCCCTGCCGCCGCCCAGGGTAAGGGGCTGGGCTGCCCTCCCCGCGGCGATGCTGGCAGGGGCCTCGGGGGAGGCGGAGGTGCCAAAGCCCTCGATCTTCACCGTGGGGACCTCGCTGGGGGCGGAGGTTGCCTGCACGTGCAGCAGCCCAGCAGCACCCTGCTCCCGGGGGCTGTGGGCTTGGTGATTGATCCCTCCCTTCCTCCGTGTGTCTCCGCAGCATCCAGTCCCACCAGCAGCCGACCGGCCACTGATTATTCCAGCTATATCCTGGCCATCTACAGCTCCCGCCTCGTGATGGTGGAGCAGGTGGAGGCGCAGCCCACCACGTTGGCGGACGCCATCATCCTGCTGACCGAGAACAAGGGCGAGCGCCACGAGGTGTGCGCGGGCGGCACGGGGCCAGGGCTGGAGGGGGGCGATGCTGCCAGCGGGAGCCTGGACCCTGCCTCCGCTGTGTTCTTCCTCAGTCTGGCAGGAGTCAGGCAGGGCTGGTTGCCACCTAGTCCCCTCCTACCCCATGGATGCCCACTCCCTTTGCTCCCTGGGGCAGCATGGGGTACCCCAGCAGCTGGGCAGCCCTTGGCTGGAGGTGGAAGATGCTGGTCCAGGGGCTGAGATTCGGAGGTGGAGGCGCCCGGAGGCTTCACACCCCTGACCCTGCTGTTTGCCCCAGGGCCGCGAGGGGATGACCTGCTACTATTTGACCCACGGCTGGGCAGGGCTGATTGTGGTGGTGGAGAACCGGCACCCCAAGTCCTACCTGCACGTCCAGTGCGATTGCACCGACAGCTTCAACGTCGTCTCCACACGTGGCAGCCTCAAAACGCAGGACAGCGTCCCCCCCCTGCACAGGTCTGGGGTAGGCAGGGGTGGGTCGGCGGGGGGCTGCCCGGCGAGGGCAGGCGGGTGCCGTTGGCCCCTGGAGAGCCTGGGAATGGTATGGGAAGAGGGTGGGTACTGGGGTGACAGGCAGGGGCTGGAATTGCCAGGGCAGAGGCAGCTGCCTGGCCCTGAGCCCGTCCCTCTCTTCGCAGGCAGGTGTTGGTGATCCTCTCCCAGCTGGAGGGTAACGCCGGCTTCTCCATCACCCACCGCCTGGCTCACCGCAAAGCCACCCAGGCCTTCCTCAATGACTGGATGTCGACGAAGGGCACCCACAACCCGCTGCTCACGCCCGAGGTCGCCGGGCTCCACGGCCCCCGGCCCCTATGACGAAGCGCCTCCCCCTCCCCGCTCCGCTCCCCCGTTATTTTCACCGAGCCTCTGGCCTGGGGTCGTCCCCCGAGCTGTCAGCGCTGAGCCGTGGGGCAGAGCCAGAGCATCACACCCAGCACTTTGCCCTGAGCCGCGGGGCCGGGGCGAGCTCTCAGGGCCAGGACCAGCTCTGCCCGCCGCCCCGGCACCGCCGGCCCCCCGTGCACTTTATGAGGAGCGGCTGGGGGCACGGGGCCATCTCAGGATCCCACCTGCCCCATGCCCGCGCCGGGCACGCAGCGGGGGGCTGCGGGAGCAGGGGGAGCTGGAGGTTGCTGTCAAGGCCCTTCCCAGGCACCACGCTCAGGACTCTGCCCCCTCCCGCAGCACCAGGGCCTTGGCGCTGCAAAAAAAAGAATATACCTCTGACGTCTGTCCGTCTGTGTGACCCTCCGTCTGTCCCCGGGCCCTTCTCATTGTCTTATTCCCCCCATCGTCCGCTGCCAGGACCAATGTGGCACCGAGGTACCCTAGCTGGGCCGGGGGGTGCCGGGGTCACCCCGCTGTGGTGCCGCCCGTGCTGGCTGCTTGTGGCGGGGACCCGCTGTGGTACTGGACCCCCCATCCACCTCGCCCGTCCCGGGTGCCGGGGCTGCCCCCTGCGCCGTGCCGGGGCTGGGGAGGACAGGGTGCTGGGTTGTTGTAGAAAGCTGCCGCCACCGCCTCGGGGCAAACCGCAGAGGTGCCCTCCTCTGCCGCTGCGCCAGAGCGGGGAGCGGGGCCACGGGGCGATGCTCGGGGGGCTGCAGCAGCGGGGAACCCCCCTCAACTCATCACACAAGTGTTACTATGCAAAGGCGGCCGCTGAAAGCAGTGCCTGGAGAGAAGCCATGCGTCCCGAGCTGGGCTCAGCCCTCCCCGTGCCCTGCGGAGGCGAGGGCAGCAGGTACAGACCCGGGCTTCGGGGAGCTGCTCCCCGTGGCTTTACCACGTTGCCATGTGCCAGGGACGGGGCCAGTGATTTTGGGGGGCGGCGGGGGGAGCAGAGAGCCCCATCCTTCAGAGGCCAAGTGCCGCGGAAGGTAGCGAGCACAGGGTGAAGGCTTGCAGGAGCCCCGCGCTGCCGCTGGCCCCGGCGAGTGCCCGCGGTTTCAGGGCGTCGTGGCTTGGCGCGGGCGCGTGTATGTGTGCGTGTGTGGTGGGGGGGTCCCCCAGCGTTACCCCCTCCTTCCCAGCCTGCTCGGGGGGCGGTGGGAGATGCAGGGACCGTGCTGGGGGGCAGCTTGCACCCCGCAGCCTGGGCAGGGCGATGTGCGGGCTGTGGGCTTTGCCCAGCGTGTCCGTCTGTCCGTCCCTCCCGCCCGGGGAGCCGGGGGGTGGCAGGGGGGTGAGCTGCCAAGCTCTGGCCCCGTCCTTGTCTGTTGGTCTGTTTTCTCTCTTCCCTGCTCCTTCCTCCTCCAGACGATTTGTCCTTCACTTTTTTCCCTTTCTCTTTGTGTCTTTCTGAGCTGTGAATATTTTTAACCCTGTAAATACTGTCCAGCTCTTAAGAAACATAGGATATTTTATCAATTGTAAAGCAGATCAGTAATCCCTGTATGATACGAATTATCCATGGGTGGTTTTCAAACTCAGGTTCTGACGGACCAAATAAAGTTTTGTTTTTTACTGAAGCTGCCTGGTTTTGCTGTGCTCGGCCGCGGCGCGGGAGGGCTGGCGGGAAGGGGTGCTGGCCGCCGCTCGGCCCTGGGATTTTTGGGGTGCAAGCAAAGGCTCTTGAAGCCGTTTCTGTGGAGCGGTGGGCATCCGTCCCTGCCCTGAAAGTAGAGCTGAGCACAAAAAAAAAAAAGGGTGAAGTTGAGTTTTGGGTTTCTTTGGCTGCGCTTTGGGGCGCGGGGGGCCGGGAAGGGCCGCGCTGGGGAGCGGAAAGGGGCGAAAATAAAGCGAAATCCCGAAATTCCCGTAAACTCTCCCGGGGCCGAGCAGGGCTGCGCCGCGGCCGGGAGGGGGCAGCC